CCATTAATTTTAAAGTGCCTTCCTTGGCAACCTCAGGTATTTTCCAAGAAAAAAAGTCGTAGAACAGTGAGTGTTTGCCATGGATTTATCATCAAAATGTACATCCCTTTTCTTCCCTGTGTTTCTGAATTGCCTTGACTAGTAGCTACCCAGCTCCAGCCAGCCAAACAGGATTCTCTCAATTGACTTGAATAGAAAGCTTTAGAGGCTCAGAAACATTGAATTGAAGGGGTAAATATGAGAGCTGGAAGAATAGCCCCTGCTCACATCATGCTTGTGATCACACAAAGCTGGCCTGATGGGTTTGACTTGAGCACAGGACTCTGCCCCTGCGGTGCCCGGCTGCCTGTGGTCCCCACAGAGGGAGCCCAAGTCTTCTGGAGGGGTGAGGGAGGTTAAGTCTGGTGAAAACATCCCCTTAGGAAATGAGGAAGAAATCTGGAATTTCAAAATTTGGGAAATGAAAAAATACCCGGAAAAATGTAGTAGAGAGTTCTTTTCCCCCAAATCAGGTCTGGTAGTTTCATTCCTGTTAGGTGTCACTGGTACACATGATACAGCACCTAGTACTTGGGAGCTTAGGCTGCTTATTACCGCTGCAGCATATGTTTTGTTGAAGATTGCTTTTAACTGAATGTTGTTTTTGATTATTCCGTTCTTCCCTTTTTCAAAGTCTTTTTTTTTTTTTTTTTGTAGCTTGATAAAGCACCCTGGGACATGAAATCCTTTTGCATTTCTAGTAGGTGACCTTTAAAAGTTATGGGACATCCAGAAAACAGGGAATCTGTAAGATTAGCTTAAGCCATCACATTAGATAAATGTCATGCATGTTCAGGAATGGGCTGTCAAATAGCTATACGACCTTTTTCTCATCTGCTTTCACTAGGACATTATAGTGGCAAATCCAGAAGTTTCAGGGAGAGTGAGTTGTTTTAGCACGTGCTCCTGCAATGGACATCACCGAAGTGCCTTGGAGACAGCGAGTGAAGGTGATAGGGTTACGACTGCCCCCGCTACATGCCTACCGCATACAATACTGTAAACATGTAGGTGTGGAGTAAGGCACATTTGGAAGCGTGGAAGAAGTCTTCAAGGCATCAGGTATGTGTTTCAGTCATAGCAGAGCAATCTCAGTTTTCAAGACCCAGGAGAAACACATGGAGAGCTGACAAGAGAGGTTTGCCTGAAAGACGTTAAAATGAATTCTTACAAGACTGGTATTTTTTTAGGCTGTCCCTTCATCTTAAGCACACCCACAAACACATGGCTCCGCTGGAGTGAGGCATGGTGATTTCTATTCCCAGTGGCACATGGAGTGACAGACCAAGCACGAGCCACCTTTCGGGCAGTATCCGGCATCCTCACATGCTCATTTATGGTCACGTTGGCTGAGGGGGTCTTTTGGCACAAGTTCTCCGGCTGGGCATATGGAGGGAGACAGGATGGCATTTGCCCCCATGCCCCCCCCGCCGACTCTATGTGCAGTTTTACAGGAAAGTATTATCTTAAGTTATTTTCAACAAAAACATTGAAGGGTGAGAGCAAATCGTTATTCACAGGAATCCCATCATGTCTTCACTGAAATCAATGGGAGTGGGAGGTTTGCGTTCAGTGGAGACAGGTTTTTAGTCCATAGTACTAACATAGCACTTCAGACTACTCATGTGATTTACAACATAAACTAGTTAATCCTCATATATATTCTGAAAGCCAAGCATGGTCATGGTCAGTTTATATTTGAGAGAAATCAGAGGCACAGCAAAGACAGGTGAGATGCACAAGGTCACACACTGATACAATGCAAGAAAATGCAGAACGTTGCCAAAACAGGACAGTGTCTGACTTGGGCACCTAGTGACTTAATCCTAAACCAAATGCCTAAGTCCCTTATGTAGTAAAAAAGTGAGTTGGTGCCTGCCAGGACCTCCAGAGGGAGATCTGGTACCCCTACATTTAGATATCTAACTTAGACCAGACAGGGAATTTATACATCTATTTTGGGAGCGCTGCTTTATGAATCGTGGGCAAGTTAGGTGAGCCAGCTCCACTTTGCTTGGAGCACCAGTTTTTCTCTTAGCACCTAATCCAAAGTCCAGTGACATTAGTTTTAACATCTTTATTAACTTCAGTAGGTTTTGGACCTGGCTTTAGCATCTGCTTGAGACTTACCTGAAGCCTCTCATGTACCATCCCACACAGTCCTCCGTAATGCAGACCAATTCAGAAGACACTTGGGGAGATCACTGGGACGTGTGTTTGCTGTGAGGCTCAACTGCAGTCCCAAAGTATTCTAGTATGAGAATTTCATTGTATTTTCAATAACTGATATTAGGCAGGCATGTTTTCGTTACTACGAAAACCTAAATCCTCATTATCACAAGGTGCTAATTCCATAGGAATCCATCTGCATTGGACTGTCCTATTTTGGTGCAAACTAGTAGGGTGTCCTGGTTTCGGTTGGGATAGAGCTAATTTTTTTCCTAGTAGCTGGTACAGTGCTGTGTTTTGTCATACATTTAGTATGACAATAATGTTGATAACACATCGATGTTTTAGTTGTTGCTAAGCAGTGCTTACACTAGCCAAGGACTTTTCAGCTTCCCATGCTCTACCGACTGAGCAGGCTGGAGGTGCACAAGAA